CATTAATTCTGTAATTATGCAATTTCCATGGATCCTTGAATACATGGCTCCTCTTCGTCTTCAAATTCAATCAATTTCAACGAATTTTTGGGACTTCAAAGCCGCAGAGCAAGTACCAGCTAAAACACTTAGAAACTATTAGATAGCAACAAACTTCAGTAGCTATCAACTAATTTGAAATACGGCAGGTGACAAGCGTGGAAAGCCTGGAATGTGCAAGGTCACACTATCTCGTTCAAAGGGCAGGCTCGCTCGACCGCTAGGCCTCCTCCAGCTCCCATACCGCCCTTCATAGATCCCACAAGCAGAAACCACTTCGGAATTAGTGGTGCTGAGGTTCTTGTGCTGCCTTCAGTGATGATGCGTCCTGAATGGCTTGAAAAATGGCTTATCAGTCCCACGACTGGCGAGTTTACGCAGGTAATTTAATCTATCCGTGAGATTACACCACCGAATTTTAGTGAGATAGTTCAATGTTCGTCTGTCGTCAGAATGGGTAGGTTGTAAGCTGTGAGAATGAGTTTATTCCAACAGTTTCACTGTACGGTCAAGTTTCAGGAACAAGGCAGCCTCCACCGCCTATAATTCCACCACAAGCACTACTTCCGAATCCTATGCCAGGACCTGTACCTCTGCCGAGGAACGTTACACCGTCTCCTCCACCCGGGCCAACTTCCCCTTTACCTGCACCGCCAACGCCGGTGCAAGAGCCACCCCCCTTGCCCGAGGGCATTCGACCATTACCACCCATCGCAAATCCCATACTGGCCCGTCCCGTGGCAGGAACGCCCAAATCTGGATCTGATCGATCTCCGCCTAAACCTCCGCCTGCACTGTTAGCAGTTCCCCCACCTGCACTGGTGCCACCACCAAAACCAAGTTCCCCGAAAATACTTGCACCACCGCCACCTATACCGGTTCCCCAACAAGTGGTGCCATCTCCTGGACCAGGAACTCCACAGAACATTGCATCCCCAGTGCCTCAGATCGGCACCCCTGTCGGTCCATTGGGGAGAAGCGCTCAGAATACACCATTAGGCGGAACACCTGCAGTGTCTAAACGGTCTGTTGTGCAGACCGTAGAATTTATTGTGAGTTTGCAACGGTCGTTGGCGTACTCAGAACGGGCTCTAATGGAGCGTTCAGAGTTGGCGATTGTACGTGCGATCAGGCGATTGGGCGAGCGAGTACGCGAGTAGGTGGGTAGGCGAGTAGGCGATTAGGCGATTATCGCTCAGTGGGCGAGCAACAAATCAATACGTATCCTTCTCTTATCGCCTACTCGCCTAATCGCTTGATCGCACGTACGATCGCCGACTATGAACGCTCCATAAATGATTTTTAGCCTCCGACAGCGTATGTGGACGTGTCCAGGGTCCCGATCCGTTTTGTACAGCTGCTACTTCTTTGCGAATTATTTTTCCATCTGATAGGAGCATCGACTGGAATGGAGTTCGCTGAGCTGTACTTCGCCTTTCAGTCAGTGGTTCTGAGAACTACTTTGGTTCTCAAATAGGCTTGTTGTGGCATTACAGTAGTATTCTCAGGAACACCTTCCACTTCGAAACGGCAATCGCGGCGCTGGTCGCCCCAATAGCTCTTGCAATTGCAGCCCTCCTCACCATTCGGACGAATCTACGGCGTATTCGCCATCAAGTAGGTGGACTCAATTCCTCTACAGGGTGAAAGCGGTTCGCCCTAACGCATGACTTTTAAATTTGGCACGAATGTTAGCTTGATTAAATTTCTTCCAAAGACAGCTTGGATTTTGCAAACTGTGGCAGAGTAATGATCAGCTGACAGAAGAGTGCGTTATGGTCTGGGGGGAGGACGAATTCGACATAGGGCAAACACTAGTACTAAGCCCAGGAGACGGGGAAAGCGTCAGGGGAGACATCAACACCTACACGAAGGTGATAACGGTCGAGGAATCCTCGACCATGGCTCTGTACTGTGCGAGAGTAGTGCCGAGAGTGAACGTACGCGCGGAGAGCACAGACGGCTCGCGCATGGCGAGTGTGAATGTCCGCGCGGGAGAACGTAACTGATCAGGCAAAATCCTCGACGTGCCGTTGAGGAATCCTCGACCGATATTCACCCTGGCTGATAATCTATATGCATGACCGTTTCTATTCGTTGACTTCCAAGAGCCGTGTTCATAGTTCGCAACCTCGGGGATTAGGATAATACGCGGCAATGAATAAGATATGTATTGATAGTAAGATTAGGATAGTAGCAGATTGGAATAGTTTGCCGAAAAGATTATACAGTCCATATTGCTGGAGGTTCTGAGAGGCGGTGTCTACGGATTTGACGTGGCACGTCGCCGATCACTGATAGATCGTATAGCATACATTATACGAAGTTATACGAGTGGAGAGGCGGTTATATGGCGAGATCACAATGGCATTAGAGCGCACAGTCCTCAATTGCGCCAACCTGCTGTGCTCGGACAACTCGTCCGGATCACTCAATCACATGCTTCAGCTATTGAATCGTCTATAAGATTGGGACTCAAAATCCTCGTTGAGACCTCCAAAGATTGACATAGAGAGTTGTGCTTTATTGGCCTAGATGCTGAGAGGCAAGAGAGAATAATGGAAATGTGAGAAGCCTCATTCAGCTCAGCGCAACTTCTACCAAATGCGGCAGCTCCCACATCAAATTTATCGCCTACACGACAGTTGCCCGATCACTTGTGTCCTTTTTCATTATAGCCTTATCGCCTAGTCATCGCGAACCATGAACGCCGCCAAAATTTCACTTTCAGTTTCACAACACCATCTGGAACCAGCCGCAGCTCACACCGTCTTATCGCTCTAGTTCTGGCCCATCTTATTTACGGCCCTACACTCATTCTAGTTGGTAAGCCAATATTTAAAAAAAATTATAAAAAAATTTGCAATAAATGAAATGAAGTACCTTCCATCGTTGGCGAAGATGTGTAGATTCTAAGGCTTCTTAAAAGCAAGCCCCGGATAACAACTGTGTTAAGAGCGCTTCGTAGTGGTGACTAAGCTGCGGAACGGCCTGAAAGTGGAAAGAAAAGCTAGACAAATCTCTGGGATCACTGAAATTAAGACCTTAACCTTCAAGAAGGTGGGATGTGGAACGATGACGAGGCAGGGCGGGGGTCGATGGTTGGGCAGCCTGTGAAAGGATTAGCGCCTAATGGTACACTTTGAGCAAAGCCGAGTGATCTAGAGTAGGAACCTTACGAATTTTCCTTACGGTATCCTTCTAACGAGTCGGGCTAATCCCGGGGTTTGCCTTTGAATCGGTCAGCGGAGCTAACTCATGGTCAGAGCTGAGGTCGTTTTCAAGGTGAAAGTCGAAAACTGGCACTCGATTTCGAAGGACCTGGTACCACTGTCTCGACGTCCTTTTGAGTTTCGTCCTTTTGAGTTTCGGGGCAGAATTATAAAGGAGTCAAGATGAACCAGATCCAACGGAACTACGAATATCATCGATTGTTGGAAGGGTCGTCCAATTTCAAATTCCTCCCAATTGGCCTTTAGCCCTGCTCGGTAGCAGGTATTGAGCTGTCGTCGTGTGAGGCATCGTTGTGCGAACTGAGCCTAGGAGAAGGGAGGAATTTTGGAGAGAACAAAAACTGTCTACGCTCTTCTCGCCGTTCTACCCCCTCCCCGTCAAGACTTGGTCCTGGGGCGTGTATGGCTCTCTGCATAACGAAGCCCCACCTGACGGCACCAGCGCTCAGAATCGGTCGTAATGTGGACCTTGCTCTGCCTGAAACCAATTGTGCACATAGATCGTTTCTTGCTTCTTTTTCAATTCCCAAATCCACAAATACTCAAAATTTAGGCATGATGTTCAAGAAATGCGGCCAGCGGTGATGAAACCCGAGAATTTATCAAAGCGAACCTTGAACTTATAATGCGATACGCCACTTACAACCCCCCTTTATGAAGGTATCCTCTTCACTTCAGAACAAGACGTTGTCCAAACAAGGAGGGAGTGGAAGTGGGGATTGGGTCATGTTGGTACAGTATGCCAACGACAAGCCAGAGGGTGGGATTTGCCTAAGCCAAGGCGAGAGAATAACTCCTGACAGAATTCGAAAGTTCCTTCTTACAAGCTCATTTGTTCATGGAGCTCGCAATCACAGCTCACAATTACTTATTAGCACCTCTAATGCCGAATGCCATCCAAAATAGAAAAAATTAAAGAACTGGCGCAAAATAAAGCTTTGAACACTCTTAAGCTCTAAGTTATAGAGATAGAGAGAGCGAGAGGTTTTAGAGATGATTAAGAGTTTTTAGAGGCAGTGAAGGTGTGATGACGAACTACCGCATCAAAATTCTCCCACCCCTCATCCTTCCCCTCCCCCTACCCCAGTCCTCCGGCTCCACACCCTCTAGGTGAATAGGGCCCAGAGCCACTGCTGCTGAGAACTTCGAGGAGCAAGCTCAATGGTCATTTCGGAGTGGAACATAACATGACCATGGCACAGAATTGTCTACAAAAATCACAACTGCCCTACCATTGATCATCAAGTTCCTCGGGCGAGCGCCACGAACTTTCGTTTGCCCTTGTCGCGAGCAAAGGGACCTCTCGAAGGACACGCAGTGATCATTCCTTTCGTTCAGAGCTTTCGTGAAGAAGTCTGACCATCGGGCCGGCGGTCGTCCAGGTGTTCGACGTCTCAGGAGGCCCAGTCGGTAACGCTTTGGTCCGAACGGTCATCACAAAATCGCATGACGTGTCCAGCCTGCATGAACGGCACCGGCCCTGATCATTGACCGCGGAACTAAACTAGACTTTGATCTTGCAATTAACCAAAAGGCGGGGTCCAAAACTTCAAATTCCCCTCTGCATTTGTACAGGGAAACCCCCATCATCATCCTCCAATACATGGTGGATAACGTTGGCAGTTTGCCCTTCCTGGGAGCAGAATCCTGGTCGTGAGGCGTAGGCTAGGGCAGGGAAGGACTAGCAGAATCGAAGAGGTGGGCACGGAGCCGGATGTTCTTCGTCTTCTTCACTACTCCCTCGATGTTCTTATGCTCCCAATGCCGCTCACTTCCTGCTGCTCATTCGGAAGCTGGGTTGTCCATCGGGTTTGTGCATTTTTTCTAGTTAGAGCCACCGTCCCTTTCCAATGGGCTCCCTTCTCTGAAATATCTACAGCCAGTTGGTAGCAGGCTAAGTGGTACGACCCCGGCATTTAAGGGTGAATCGCCGATCAAAAGTGATCATATCGACCTGGAAGCAATCAGAGGGGTAAACGAACGAAAAGTTTTGTTTATTTCGATGCTTGAATAAAGATTAAAGAATGAGTCACGGTGCCGCAGCGGCGACTGGCACGCCCAGTTGTAACATGATGGAGCCGAAGAACAAGTCTCGGCAGTCAACAAATGTAGCAAGTTTGGAGCGACTTTTTTTTTAGGAAATGACAATGCTGCTTCAGCAACAGTTCCAATGTTTGGAAATGGAAGGGGAGTTTATAAGATAACTGAACAACCACTGGTTAGTTTTTCCAAGTATAAACATTTGGACGTCGAGTGCTGGTGTGAAATATTTGGTACCCTGCGCCAACCCCTAAACTTGCAGACAAAAAGGTTGACAATCCCTTTTCCAGAAACCCCTTTCAAGAAATGAAGATCATCCATGGAAATTATGGTTTGAGTCTTATTCCTTGGACGAGACCTATCCTGCTGCGATTCAGGTGAGTTTCGAACTATTGGCTCCATAGGTCTCAATTTTTGCCCCACGAACATTCCCTTGCTGTTCTCGTGAAAAGCACATGCTGTACAACTGAATTGAAGGCACGCTGCGCGATATTAAGTGCGCTCACAAGCTGTTCCGTCCTCCGAGGGTTAGTAAGACAACGTTGAGTGTCACGCCCTATTGCATCCTGGCACTGAGCTCGTCCGACCGCAACCCCACCTTCGTCCGCAAGCCCCACCCTCCGCTGTCGGTTGCCACGTGGCGCTGCTTGAAAAGCGCGGGCGCATTTGAGGCAGCGGTCCCATTGCGGCCCAATGTCATTGGCACTGGAGCAACTAGAGTTAGGTTCGTGAAACTCGTCCAACACGCCTCTTCTCTATCCCAAGTGGAATGCGGCTGAAACGGAGAAGGTCCTTATGCGAGGGCCTAATCCGTAAATTCTTCTTGCTTCTTTTCTTTTTCGGTGAACTTCCCATTTCTAGTTTCATTAGTGAACGCTCTTCTACACATATTTTATCCCGAAGCTTGCCTTTAAAAATGCCCAAATATTTTGCATACACTTCAGCCTTTTTTGTTGGGTGCGCGCAATGTAACCTGCGCTCTCACAACATGAACTGCAAGGAAATAGGTTATAGCGAGCGCTGAGTCGTTCAAACCCTTTGAAAACAACTCCTTTAGGGAGCTTTTCTCGTTACCATGGTCATGCTGTAACATAACGTCCGGTGCGAAATGCGAACACATTGGAATTTCTCGCTATCAGCGTCACTTCAACAATCCAACTGATTTCAACGACGTCGAAGCGGCACTGCATGTTCCAGAATTGAATTGGGTAAGTGCCCAGCTGACAGCTCTGCGATTGCCTAGTCCTATATCTCAAAGTGAAAAACCAAGGCAGCGTTTAGAGTTGGCGATCGTGCGTGCGAGTAGACGATAAGGGGAAGACACGTATTGATTCGCTGCTACGATCACTGAACGATCGCTCAATCGCCTCGTCTAATCGTCTAATCGATGCGTACTCCTTTCTTTACCGACTCATCGCCTAATCCCATGCACGATCGCCGACTCTGAACGCTGCCCAAACGACCGAAAGATGGCCCATGGCATAAAGATGTGGCTCCCAATGGGTTTCTCACTCCTCCCCCTTTCTACCAATAGATGTTCAAACCCGATGCAAACATTTTCTGCTGATACACGGGGACTCTCCAGTCTTAATAAAAATTTGTATACGCATTCCCTGATTTCGCCACGGCTTTTGTGACTGTCCTAAATTTCTCACAGATGGCGTCGCTTCGTCTTTGAGGCGGCATGGTTTGATACCGATCTTTCAGAATCCCACATCATATGAGCACTACCTGGATCGTAACGAACTTGCGATAAGAACACTATACGATCGTGACTGCGCTGAGGCATTCCTCAGAGGCATAGAAGGGAATGCTGAGTCCATTGAAGGTCTACTGTTCAAAGCAGGTATATTTGAGCGGTGAGAGGTTTCTGCTGAAAAAAGCGCGGAATTCGCCAAAAACATTGAGATTTAGAAATGCATCCTTTGAATTAGCTCCGGGTATGGGGCATCGGGTAACCTTCTCAGTACGACATTCTTTCGAGAAGGGTGTAAGTGGAAGTACGGGAGGGGGTTGAAGGGGATAAAGTGTGGAGAAATACATACACAGCAGCATTAGTTACAACAGTAGAACGGTAAGCAATTCATAGGTGAGCTTTTGAGTTATTAGGTGGTTTCAAAAAAATATTGATAAACTCTACAAGTCGACCCGGGCTCGAAACAAACCAAGCACGATCCCTTTCAAACGAGATTCCACCTCGCATATTAGGCCCTAACTCTCGACTCCTCCACTTTCTCCATCAACCTGGTGTTTGTAGTGGGTCTATGCGGCTTATTGGTCCTTACCTTAATGCAGTTGTTGTAAAGACGGACCAAACGTTGCTCCCATGTTGCAAAACAACCATTTTCTGTTCTAGGAATTGTTGTGTCAGCTTTCTCAGTGCCTCTAGTATTGGTCCTTATTCAGCTATACCGTGTGCTACAGACATCAACACAGCCCGTGTGCATAAAGCGAGAAGTACAAGCCTCCAACTTCCACTCCATTTTGGAATCCTTTCCAGCACCCCCAAAGTGCTCGAGAAATAGCAGCGCCTGATTCACAAAACAGAGACCAGTTTTAGAAACTGGTTTTAAAATGTTATTGTTATTGCAATACTTCTAATACAAATCGTTTGAATAAAAATTTTATATTCGTTGTAAAATTATCGATCTATCAGTGTAGCTTTTCGAAAGAAATAATTGAGGTATGAAAAAAGTCCTCCTAACATGACTCCTATCCTGGACAATGTGTAACATAAACCATACGCTACCCTTCCTTCGGGTCTAGCACATAGTGCAAGGGAAGGGATAAGGTTTGATTTTGTTTGGTTTTTCAATAAATTTAAGAGCAGGAATTCCAACGAAAACGTTTATTCTGCAGGTGAGTAATAAGGCCGCCGTTCATACTTTGAGAATCGGCTATTTTGCGAAGACGCGATTGGTAGCACGTTCGCAAAGGACGCACGCGCCGCGACGCGTCAGGAATCAATCAATGACTCATCCATAGACTTGAATCTTATCTGTCGCCACGTATCAAATCCTTCCACGCTGGTCGCCCCATCGCATCTTCGCCTCGCGCGATCGCTGAAATCCAGACGCTATCTCGCATGTGACGCTTTAAGGCGGAGTCGAGCCAATCGATATGCACTCACTTCATTTGATAGAATCGCTTGGTCGCATCATCGCATCTTCGCATATAAGCCGATTCTCAAAGTATGAACGGGGCCTTAAGTGTGGAAGTAGAAAAGAGCATTTCAAGTAAACAAGTACTTCAATAGAGGCAACAAAATGATGTTTTTCTCTTCACCTAATAGAGAAAAACGGTATATGTTCAGTGTTTAGCCTCACAGAGTGGTTCGACATATTCCAAATTTTTTAGAAGAAAAAAGGTTTAACGGCTCATACCATGTGAAGACGAGAATAGAGAGAATAAAAAAGAGGAAACATGTGATGTTGATAAATCTCTGGAGATGCGCATCGCATTCGACATTCATTCAGAGGATGATCAATTTGGAATGCCCGTTGGCCTAGTTCAATTCAAACAGGCCAGCCCAGTCCTAAATCAGCATTTGTTTCAATGTGAGCCAACTTTCCAACTACGCAGCCGACCAACAAGCGGCAGTAGGTGGAGCGGGTAACTCTGCGCGCACTTTCTTAAGCCAGAAATACTAGAAAAATTACAGAAATGAAAGATTGTAGATTGGATCCACAAAGGATCTATTGACGACATAGTGTATGATCGTTGGTTTATGGTCAAAACGGTTTAATGGCTAATACGTCCGCTAGAACTTCCGTCATTTCTCTCGAAAGCCTCTTGGGTTTTCAAAGCAATCTGGCAATTAGCAATTTTCTGAATTCTGCCTATTGCAGTAAACCATTTACACTCCCCAGGTTGACCGCTCGACTAATCTGAAAAGATGACGATACGAGATCTCAGCGGATATATTGCCGCCCCTCGTACAAGGTCGTGGTCCGATATTGTTGCCAAACATCCCCTTCCTTTCGTATTAGATATCTGATACACGTCTGATGCTGATCGTCTCATAGAGACCTTTTCTTTAGTTTGACAGAAATTACTTCTCAGTGGTGCCGTCCCGAAGCCCTCATCGGTGATCTAAAATGCTGGAACAAGGACAATTGAGGCTCCAAAAGTTGTTGTCAAAAAGCTTCAAAGTTTTTATTATTTTATTGAGTTCTTTTGAAGACTTATAAAATAAAGCTTTTGGAGCTCAAATTTCTAACATTTAGAAATTTACTTCCATACCATTTTCTAGCATTCGTTCAAAAATGTGGCCGTGAGTGCTCTGTAGTTGATAAATAGCTTGAAGAACTCCTCTCGAAACACTTTATTGTTATCATGCAGGTGTTTCATTATCTGATCGTACAAAAGAAATTCTCTATCCTCTTCCTTTTCTTCCCAATACATATAATGGCCCATTCTCAGACCATTCTCCTGCTCGGACGACGACAGTGGTGCTCTCTGCATTTTCCACCGTGTGTTTCTTCGCCATTTCGTCCGTTCTTCCGATGTTTTTCATCCGAATGCAACGTGCCAACACACTGATGTTTACCCAACTACACAAGTGTCATGTAGGTCGCATAGTTCTGAATTTATTTTTCATTTTTGAGAAATGGCGCCAGTGGTGACAGTGGCAATGACACTGCTCAGCACCGAGCGTCCGGGGATCGACCGGATCTTGCGGTCGCGACCTGCGTCAACCAAAGCCTTTCCTACTGCCCTCTTGGTTGGTCAATTCGACAAAGCCTTCCATCCCTCCGGGGTCGGTTAATTGGTACCAGACTTGTCTGGGAGGATAAAAACACTGACTTGTACATCGGCTGGCCCCGCAAGTCATTGTATAGGCCACATCGCTACGAATGTACAAATGGAAGTAGAATGCGTGCCGCATCCCAAAAGGGATTGATCAACGGCAAATGCTTTATCCTTCGCTTTTTCTTTCCAAGAAATCACTCGGATGAAATGAGGCTGCACCCAATCTTGCCTTAGCTTTTCCTTTAGCCCAGATCGAACCTCCCTCTCCCCTCCCCAGGCTTCCTTCCTTGCGCTCAGGCTTCATTCCTGTGGAATCTTTAGTGGGCACCAGACCTCTTGAGTGGGCAGAAACATTGTCCCTTGAAAGGGTGGTCCCTGCAAATGACTGTATAGGGCAAGTCGCATACAAATTCCCGTCCCATTCCATTGGAGTAAATTCAATAGATTTTTGTTTATCTATTTCTTTATACAGGGGGGGGACCCAGAGATGCCCCGCACATCGTGAGTTGCGCTTCTCAGGTGTCCTTTTCAAACCCCACAGGACTAAAGCTTGGCCTTTTAACCAGCACGTTTCAGCAAGATTCGAACGATATCTGGAGACAGCTGACACAATCAAAGCTGTTGACTCGAACACGCCGTCAATACGGAAAAGCCGGAAGAGGACCACCAGCCGCACCTGCTGGACAATGTAAACTAGCACTTTCAAAGTTGATTCTCATGGTAAAATACGACGAACGTTAAATTTCAGGCTGCAGTTGTCAGCAAGGTCCTCCTGGCCCACCTGGCCCAAGGGGTAAAGACCGACCGCCAGGTACGTATAACATGTTGTCTCCATTTGGGCAATATTGCAATCAAAAATTAAGACTCTTTCATTTCAGGGCGAAATGGCTTGGTTGGAATGAATGGCCGCAATGGTCGCGATGGCCGTTATGTAGCGGTTGAAGCGAAAAACGAACCACCGTGCCAGAAGTGCCCCAGCGCTCCACCAGGACCACCAGGTTACCCTGGCCGAAAGGGACCACGTGGACCTGCAGGGTACGCTACTGCTCTTATCATTACAAAAAAATTATGCAAAACGACATTTCAGAGCAGCTGGTAAGAGTGGAACTCCGGCAGCACCAACCTGGAGACATTGGTACCCAAGGGCCGCCAGGCGATTCGGGGAAGGTTCTATACGGTGGGCCACCTGGTCCACCTGGAAAAATTTGGTAATTTTTTTCGTTCGTCCTAATTCACCCAAATTGTCTACAAGCCTTCGTTACTAAGGGATTGCAACTAGTCACAGAGCCATAAAATTCATGTAAAAATGGTTTCAGGCTTATCAACGCTAACCTGCGCAGCTTCCCATAGAGGCTGGAAATTCCTTTAATACAGCCTCCATGCTGAAGTCGTTTAGCTTAAAGCGAGGGATTACGATAAGATTGGACTGGGTTCATAGTGGAAGTGGAGATGCTGAATAATGCCCCAGTGGCGAAAAAAGCAAAGAAATCCGTCGCAAAATGGGACCCCTTTCTTTGCCCGTTGACCTCCGATAATGGACGAGCTAGCAACCAATAGAGGTCGTTTGCACATGTTAAACCGATAGCCACCATCATACCAGCAAAGGCCATGCTTTGATTGGTAACGCGTTCCATGGGAAAGTTATAGGATACGCACTCAAAGCGGAATACCTCATCAAAATGATAATCGAAGGACGCTGCTGCTGGGGGCGGAGCACAGGCCGTGGCGGAGCTCAGAAAGGAATGGCAAGCCCAGTACGCTGCAACTAGCGCACCTTTGACCACAAAAACGCCACATTTCGTTTCCTTGGCCCCTGACTACTGCTTCCAATGGTGCATGTACTTCCACGCTGCACACACACTTTATCGTAATCTCTCGCTTTAAAGTGAATCTAGGTTAATGTGGTGTGAACAATTCCCTTCGGTCTGCAGGATATCTAGTGGGACTCACAATCACAGATGTGGCATCTCCGTGCACGGAAACAGCCCGACAAGGGCGCTAGGGCCTTGCAAAGTAGCTGCAACAGCTGCAATTTTTTCCGCAGCAGGTTGTCTGGCGCCCTCTCATCTGTTGCGCTCTCTCGCCTCATACTCTCCTCTCCGCGCTTAGTCTCTCATTGCCTTAGCACAGCCATTACAAGTGGTGAGTGAGCCTTAACCTGAGCGTTTTTGACGGATTTCTTTCTTCTTTACTGCCGGCCCATTTCGCACCGAGACTTTCATATTCAGAACCACATCAATTTGATCCTAGGGCATGCCTTTAAGTTCCTAAACTTCAATATCTTCAAGTTGCTAAACTTCAAACAATGGAGAGGCCCTGTTAATTGCGTTATGTCCACTGCTCTGATATTTTTCAACGACGTATAAATAGCAGCGACAGCAAAAATGATAAGTTAAGATTGTGGGCACACGTCCACACCATGGAATTACGCGGGTTCCCCTTTTCCAGGCGGAAACAGATATTTCACAATCGCAAAATTGGTGACGGTACTGGTATGAGGCCTAGGTTGTTTGGACAGATGGTGGAGAGCCATAAAACAAAATGATCACAAATCGCAATGAAATCGGTGATAATGCGCCAGAGCTTCTTCCATGAGACCAAAGGTAGGGAAAAGAAGAGAAATGGAGTATAAACTGAGCTTTACGACTTCTATCATTCCCCTACACAAGCTTGGCAGCGTAATAACCCCTTTTACTTCTCGTGTGGCTCGCATGTGAAATACACGACCTCTGAGCACAACACTGCCTTATCTTATCAGGAGCCGCTCTTTGTCACCAACAATTTCTATTTTTCGTTCTTTCAAAAATTATCTCCCAGCCATATACTCTATATGCTTCAGGGCCTGCTGGACCGCGTGGAAAACCTGGAATCCCTGGACCGTGAGTTCATTTTGTACATTTAATGCATTTACAAATACACGTCCTCGGCAAATAAGTCGACATTTGGTCTAATCTCATAGTTTTGCTTGAAGATTGGGACAGAATTGTCGGATACACAGATTCAAACAACTCGGATAGAAGACTCTGATCAGTGTATCGGAGCTCGCGACAAATCAACATACGGTGTGATCACAAACGATCGGCTAGAATCAAACATTACTTATTAGCTTCCCCTTCGATTAGTACGAGTCATCTGGCTCTCATGAACCCTCAAACAGGCATGTGTTTTGGTTAAACTTTTCATGGGCATTTACTTCTCCTTCATAATCATATTCCCCTATATTCCACGCAAGACATCGCTCTTAGCTAAAAACATATATCTTATGGTTAGGAAATCATAATTCTGATACTGCAGACCGCGAAATTTCAGAAACTTCTTCCGATGGCCTTTTCAAAACTCCTTATCACCAAACACGACCTTTGAGATGTGTTATCTCTACGCAATGCCCAGAAAGTCGATACCTTACTCTATTCATGTCAAATCTTATTTTTCTACCTCCTCCCCTTCCTCCTACATCTTATTACTCCCCTCTTCCTGCTCTTCCCTTCCCGTCCTCGGTGAACCCTAAAGAATTATCGCTTGATCAGACCAGCGCCGAAAACAATCTCGGTCTAGGTTCATCACTACTTGGTCCCATCTGGATCATAAGAATCGTGGCTACACATTACAAATTATTCGCTTTCTCTAAAAAGCAAACTTTCTCATCGGGTAATTTTATCTGACAGCGCTGAAAACACCCCTTCTGTTTTCATCGCTCCATTACGGTTTCAATATTTTGTTTTATGGCCGGTTTTTCAAGGCGGTGGTAACTGACTTCAGAATGAAACTGTAAATGCTATATGTTTCGTAAACTGTAGATGGACAAAAGTGGCCCACCACTGACGACAAGAAGCGAAGAAAACGCGGAGAACGCTCTCAATAAAAAAATGCCCCTGAAGATAAATTTGAGCGTTGCACCAAGTTTCGTATAAGAAACACTGGAGGCCGGTACAAGATAACAGGCGAGGAACAACCGTGTACATAGGCACGTGGCCATAACCTCAGCTCCGAGTCGGAGCCAGGTGATTGAATACGGGAAGAGATTTCAAGCTCTAACGGCCCTGCCTCATAAGTTCGCGCCACAGGATTAGTAAATTAGTGCAGATACGGAATAGTCCTCCTTTCCTGTGCAGGGGTTTCATTTCTTCAAGAAGTCGCAAATTGTACATTAGGCTCCAATCAAATTTGTTTGAGGGTTAGACAACTAATTAATTAATTTCCGAGTGATTTTTAACTTTTGAATTTTCGACAGTATTGGAGAAGTTATCAGTTCACTTAAGTACAAGAAAGCATCAATCAAAAGATTGGCTGAGCTTAAGTTGTAAGTCTGTATCAGACAGATGCGCATTCAAAAGCCTCTACGATGTTACATGCAGGATGATTGCGTGGTGTAAGCCAAATGGACTGATCAGCACCGACCAGTAGCCAATTTCACCCTTGGTAGTAAAAGAATGGATAAAAATGTGAACTTTCTCAAGTACAAAGCATTCCGAGTTGGATAAGCTTCTTTTGGGATACGCCACGCATTCCACTTCCATTCAGAATCATATAAGCATTTGAACACCATTTGGCCTACACAATTGCTTTTTGGAGCCAACCGACTCGAGAATAACAGCTTTGATCTCTCGAGAAAAAAAAACCGGCTAGCCTGGGATGCCTGGGACTATGCGATTTGACCACACTTTCGAGGAGCAGCGCTCGCCACTTTACAAATTCCGCCGCCTGGTCAAAGGTCGAACAGACTGGTTATACCAAAAATCCTCTCGAAACTTGTTTTCCCCCACCTTTATAATTTCTGCAGATCGAGCTGTCCTAAATGTTGAAGAAGTTTGTTTTCGCTCCAGGGAAAATCAGCTGATGGATCAGTTCGGTTTCTACGGCCGTGATAAGCCAATTCGATGAAGCGCTTGTGCACACGGTCTTTGTCTTGCTGATGTTTGCCCGTTGTTTACTCTATTCGGGAGTGAGAGGGAAGGCCAAGGAGTATGGGAGTGGGAGCGCCACACACCGCATGCATGCAAAGACAACCGATACGATCAACTTTTGAACATTCGACTGCACTTAAATACTTGCCGTTCCTCACAAACATAATTGTGCTGTGCTCATATCGTACTCTCACGAACTCATCCGAGCAATGCTTTTCTTTAAGGACGAACTTGTCGTAAAAAATAGCGAAGCCAAAAATTGCTCGGAAATAATTGAATATTTATAAATAAATAAATAGAAAAATAAATAAATACAATAAATATCTATAATTACATAATAATATAAAAAAATAAAAAAATACTAAATAGAAGCTTTTCCAAAATTTCTCTCATGTATCTGCGCTAGTCATCCTGCATGATTATTTTATCTGTGTTGAAAAGCTTGCTTGCTAACCATCCATTGTCGTCCGCAACTCGATAAAAATGGCGACCGTTCGTGTTGGTACGGCCTTCATTATCTGGACTTCGTGCCCTATCAATGATTACCGAGCGCCGGTTGGGAGAGCCTCGCGTTTCGACCGATTCATTTTCAATATTCGAACGAAGGAGACAGCTTAATGATCTTTGGGTGAGGGAAAGGAAGGAGGAAAGGGGGATGAGGCCGTATTCGATGAAAGTGACACTGTGACATTGTGTTATTGGAAGAGATGAGTGAAGGATTTTCGGGGGAGTCCAATGGTAGACAATTCCTGCCCCCTGTTACATAAATCCCGGTCTCTGTCTTCTGAATATAAAGGGTCTCAGATAGGGTCCAGTTAAACTACCTACCTCTGCATGCTACAACCACTCTTGAAAGGCCTTGATGTCCATCGGCTGGATCAATCAAGCGCGTAGAAATCCGGTTGCGTCGTCCGCAATCGGAACTACCCAAACGAGAGAATTCATGCTAAACCTTAAGGCCTTCATATTCATATGTAGACGTGTAAAGTACGGTACCGTATCCAAAACGAGCGTTCCCTCGCCCATCCATGAAAGAAATCGACAAAGTTTCTACGGGCTTTCTATGCTTTTCTCCTACCCGGATCTTACTGTGTACAATTATCCCCCAACACTGAGAATGCACGTTTCGCTCACAAATTTATAAGATTCATTAGCGAGCTGTTATATCTTAATTATATTACTGCTCGTTTTCGCT